TTCGTCCATGATTCTTGGTAGTTTCAGTGCCATCCTAGCCATTGTTTAGTCTGTAATTTTTTAGAATTGATGTGCGAGTAATGACTTTCACTTAGATTCAACTATTATGTGTGTATTTATTGGCACGTGATAGAATTCTCTTTCCTTTTCTTTGAATTCAGTTTCATACTCTAATTGTATCATTTGTACACAGGCAAATCATGCTCGAGATGACAACTCGCTGATGTGGTTGGTGCAAGGAATGAAGCCATCATTAGAATTCAGACCGACAACGGGGAGGGATGCCTAGGACTAATTCAATGATGATTGATGATGGTATAATAAAACTGCAGTCTGCATCAACACCAATTTCTAGGCCTAAGTAAAGTTATTCAACCCAGAACTCTGCTTAGCGCTAAAAATTGCCCTCACCCAACCTTGATCCTGTTTGACCCACTTCTGAAGAGTCAAGATATATGACTAATCCTGTCCGTTCTTATTTTCTTATTGACTCTTTCTGACCCTTTAGGTTGGGGCGGGTCGGGAAGAATCGGATTAGTGGGTCGATCCTAATCAAGTGGAATCCCAATCCCTTCACTCTCACTTGCTTTCTCTCCCATTTCACAAGTGGGTAACATACAGTAATCCGGCCAACGGGCTGGGTAATAAGCTAGTAATTATGATGACAAACTTACTAATCCTACTTTCACTCTCAATTCACGAAATTTCAAATGAAAAATCTTAAAACATTATATGTATCTTATAGAAAGAGCTTCTTCAACCAAGTAGGAAAGGTATTTTACCTGAAATTATTATCTTATAGAAAGTGATTAATTGTGAAATCGGAACATAAATAATATTGATTCAAACATTAAATATTAAATTGTATCATATGTATGATTCAGTTTAGACAAAATACATATGTGTAGCCAAAACATGGATCTTTGTGACAAATATAGTAATTATTTGTGACCATCTACACATAATATAATGATAAATTGGGCGCAATGACGAAAAAGAGCTTCCTAAGATCACTCTCATACCAGGAAATTTGAAATGAGACTCTCATTTTCCATTTTTATCATTATATTATGTGTATATTTGTCACAAAAAATGAATATACTTGTCACAAAGGTCCATGTATTGGTTACACTTCTGTATTTTATCTAAACTAAACTACACATACAATCTAATATTAATGTTTGAATGAATGTTACTTGAGTTCCAATTTCAGAAATAACCTCTTTCCATAAAATATAAATAACTTAAGATAAAATATAAATATAAAAGCATCATCACCAAACATATTTATAGATTTTAATCAAAGGAATAACTATAAACAATGTAGGGTAGTTGGTTACAATGTTCTTTCTTCATTAAATTGACCAAGGTTCGAACTACAATAATAACATTTTTAATATATAAAAAAGAACTGGGTGCAATAACGAAAATGACCTTCCTAGAATCACTCTCCGACCACGAAATTTAAAATGGGACCATTCCAACCCATATTTTGCAATTATATATTTTGTAGATGGTTAGTAACGTAAGACATATCCAATTGTATTGTAAGTAAGCATAATTTGTATTGACACAAGAGTGTGGTTTGCAATGTAAATTAGTCCGTATGTAATGAAAATGTGATGCAAACATAGTCTGATTTGTCTAACTTATAACATTGGCAGGTATATTTTCTTTATTTGGTTTGAACATTGTTAGGGGTGGGATTCGATCGGTAAACAATTTACTGTTAACCTAATTTATCGGTTTCGGTATACCGAAGTTGGCCAAATTGGTTACCGATTACCAATACCGGTTTGTAACCGGTTTACCGATTACCGAATTACCGGTAAACGGTTACAAACCGGTATTACCGAAATACCGTGAGAAGCGATTTCGGGCGGTTTTTCGGTCGGTTTACCAAATATTTACCGAACCGAATTTCTGAAAGTGGCGTGATGTTGTAATATTTTGATTTTTTTGAGTTTTTTTAATCATTTTTGTAATTAATAATTTATTATTAACTCTTATTTACAATATTTTTTAGGCCTATACAAACTTTAAACTACAATTCAATAAACTTATTAACAATAACATACATAGATAGATTTTGGCTAATCGCTAATTGGCTGCTATTGCTGAATGCCGAGTACTGTTGTTGGCTACTTGGCTTGTTATATGCTGCCTCCCTCGACCATTTGCTCTCCAAAATGCACAAACCAATTCAAAATGCTTTTCCTCTTCCTCCTGATTATCAAATTGAACAATGACAACAAACACACAACGCTCAATACTCATAAATCATAATTCACATCAACCAAACGATACAAACAGGAAACTGCAAATCGTTGCAAGCTCACACAAAAAAATGATTGCATTTGAAGTTGTCTCGAGCAGTAGAAAAATTGAAGCAGGTTTTACTTTTTACAAACATAGCTCCCCAGAAAAATGACCATATTTTACATGAGAACTAACTGATTCACTAGTGGACTTGGCAGGGAACAAGCAACAACCAACCTACTCATTCTCTACAAACTCACAGCAGAGCAGGGGAACCCAAACACACAGCTCGGCTCGGCTGCTCGGGTGGGTAAATCAGAATTCAATTTCATAAATAAATAAAAATTAATAACACTATAACCCACAACAGGGCAGGGCAGGGGAACCAATTATGCAATTCACCAATTCGACAATTCTTACCTCTAGGCGAGGACGGCAGGAGCGGGGGAGGACTGGGAACTGGGAACGGGAAGGGCTGGCGACGGGAAGGGGAAGCCGGAATGTGGCGGAGCCGCGGAGGAGGACTGGGAACGGGAAGGGGGGGGCGACTGGGTACGCGTCGCGCGTCGGCGAGGAAAGCGCGCGAGTTGGAGTAGCCCGTCGTCGTCGCCGCCAGTCGAAGCCTCGAAGGAAGACGAGAAGAGGAGAGCCGGAGAGGTGGTCAGGTGGTTGCGCGGGTCTGGAAAAAACGAAAGAGGAGAGGGCTGGGGCGTGGTCGCTCGCTGAGGGACATGGTAAGTTTTTACTTTTTAGGGTTTGGGGATAAAGGAGCAAACACAGCGCAGCACTAGGAGGGGTGATTTCGGTATCGGTATTACCGACTTACCGTCAGTAATTACCGATACCGTGTCCGGTAAACCGACTCCCTCAACTTCCCGCTCGGCCGCCGATACCGCCGGTAAACGGTTTACCGTTTACCGACGGTTACCGGTTCGGTAAAACGGTAAACCGTTTACTGGATTACCGTTTACCACCCCTAAACATTGTATACCTTGTATCTTTTGATTTGTCTTTTTTATGATTTGTCTTTTTCTTCCGTCTCAGAGGTGGAGAGGAAGAAAAACGGGAGGGAGGAAGGCGGCGCTGGATGGAGAAGGGGAAGGTGTTGATTTTTCTTCGATTTAGGGATTTAATCTTGGTGGGTAGTTGGTTGGTGGGTCGGGTCTGGTTTGATTAGAGGGTTGGGTAGATTTAGATGAGCTGGCGGGTTTCAATGACGTGGCGGGTCGGGTCAGACTATTTTCGGGTTAAATAGTGATGTTAGACGATTATGTCCGTCACATCATCACTTAACGGACTATGTTAACGGAGATGGACGACAGCTAACATAGAGTGACCAAACGTGATCGATTTTTGTAAAGTGAAGTACCACCAATGAATTTAAATATTTCGAGTGACCAAACTAGAACTTTTTTTGTAATCTCAGTGACCAACCATGCAATTAACCAATATTAATGTGTAAACTTTTTATTATATGGTTTGTATGTTATGTATTTCTACATAAGTAGGAAGTGTCTTTTGTAACTAGGTTTACATTTTAGTTTTTTCCAATTATATAAACATAAGTTCGACATTAGTCTGGAATCAATGAATCAAATAACAAAACTAAACAAGTTTTGGATACTCTACATTGTATTTTTGCTTGTAAGGTATAAACAACTCTACAACCATGAGTTACAATTCATCATACTATATAAGTACATCCATCATTCTTCTTGTTGTTAATGTACCTAGTTGTCTAATCTATATAGCAAACTAGTTCAAACCGGTTGGAATTCAACACTATTATTAAATTTCAAATCACTTGTCTGATCGGTTCAATGGTTTAAACGAGTTTGACAATCTTGCAAGAGGGTTGCAATTTCAGAGTGATCTATCTAATTAAATATATCTCCAACTGAGCTTATTCAAAGTCCAGATTACAAGATAAATACTACCTAGTGAATTCATCTTCTTGTCACGGATCACTGCCAAGAACTAGGGGTGTCAGTTCGGGTCGGGTTCGGTTACCCAAACCAAAACCCGAAAAAGCCTGAAACTGAAAACCACTAAAATCGAACCCGAACCCGATAAGGGCTTGCGGGTTCTGGTTACTCGAAACCCGAAAATTCCTTATCGGGTTTGGGTTCGGTTAAAGCAAACCGAAACCCGAACGTCTAAGAATACGGGTTGAGTTCTATTCATTGGAGGTTTTTAGCCGCAACCCGAAAAACCGATAAGCAAAACCGAACACGAAACCGAAAAACCCGAAACCCAAAACGAACTCGAACCCGAAAAACTGAAAATGTATATAATCGGGTCGGTTTCGGGTAAACCCGAAAAACCAAACCCAAATGGACACCCCTAGTTTTGTGTAAACAATAATTACGCGAAAAAAAAAAAGAAAGAAGACAAAAGTTGCCAATCAGATTGTGAAAAAGTTTGCCCTTTCCCATATTTTATCATTCCCACTACACTTTGATTTTAATAAAGCAAAAAAGTGGCTTGCAAAAAAGTGGAGGCTCCACTTTCCTCTCTCTCGCCGATTTCACCCCGTCGCGAGGACCAGCGTACCCAACTCCGGCCCGCACTTTCCTCATTATCCTTCATCCCTACATCTCCTCGTCAAGATCCAGGTGAGACCCGTCGGTTCTCATTCTTGAGCATCTTAAGGAACAAATTGATTTACAGCTTTCTGTCTGTTTTCATCTCAAGCCGGGATTTTTCTTTTTCTTCTTGCCATTGTCTCGTACAGTTTTCAGATGCCCAAAGCCAAGCTTAAAACGACTACGAAAGACGCCGTTTCGGAGATGCAGCAACTTCAGTCGGACTTGATTCGAGGACTGGGTCAACTTCAGCTAAAAATTGATGAGAATCGTCCACTCCAAGAAGCAAGGAGGAGGGTGCTAGAAGATGAAATGATCCCTACACTGAGAGAGCTGAAGTCCATAAATGATGTGATGGAAACCCACGGTTTATATTATTATTATTATTATTATTATTATTATTATTATTATTAAGGATATTAGTAGTTGAGTCCTATTAGGTTAACTGTTAGGGTTTTCTAGTTCCTTTTCCTATATATGTACGTTGTTATTCGTTATTCTGGGAGTCAAGAAGAATATTAAGGAAACTCTTTCCCAAACCCTAATCTTCTATCCTCTCAATTCTCGTTCTCAACCCTCTAAAGGCTTAGGCCAATTCTCTATCTTCTCTTCTCAAATCCCTAATTCTGTTCTTAATCCCTAAATCCCCAATTCTCGATAGAACCCTAATCACAGATTCTATCATTTGGTATCAGAGCCCGGTTCTTGGGTTCGAATATAAACGAAGAACAACGAGCGCAATGGTGTCAACGAAATCGATGCAAGCCGATGAGAAGGCCGCCAAGGCGGCGGTGCAGGAGCAAGCCTCGATCACGGCCTCGACGGGGCTGCCGGAGGCTGCGAAGGCAGTCATGGGGTCTCCGATCCGCGGGACGGAGAGCTGGTGGACGAGACAGAGAAGCTGGAGACGATCCAAGCCACCTTGAATCGCCTGGTAGCTGAGTTCGAGAAGGAGCGCGAGGAATGGCGGGCTGTCCGGCGCGAGCAAGGCGAACAACGGCGCATACAGGAGGAGGAGTCCCGGAGAGTTTGGAAGCGGTTCGACGAGGTGCAGGTGGTCTTGGAGGCGCTGGCCGCCGCACACACAACCGGGCCGAAGAACAGCGGCGGCGGCGGTGCAGGGGGCAGTAGCAGGAGCGGGGCGGGAGAACCGCCGGCGGACGGGGGCGAGGAGGCGAGCGCCGCGGTGGCCGCGGACGACGCGCGGAGGGGCATGGCGGCGGCGGCGGCCGTGGTGATGGTGGCGGCAGAGCAGTCGAACCTTCAGGCCGTTGCAATAGAAGCTGTCTCCACTACTGTCGTTCCATCATCAACACTGCAGGCCAGTGCGTTGTCCCTGGCCGTTGCAGAAACACCGCACAAGCACGATGGGGCATCACAAATCACCCCGGCCATTGATGGGTTCCTTATTGAGACTAAGAATGTTGAGGAGGGGTCAATAACCATAGAGCAGCCGGCCGCTACGGAGGTTTCCACGATACTCTCGCCAACTGGGGTTGAAGAAGAAGGCCCATTTGAGAAGATCTTTGTCGACCTACAACAGCTTCGGGCGCTCACCGAAACACAACCAACTCCTGATGTTGTGCGATCCCTAACCCATGCTATTTTCGGATCGGTACTCGTTCAATTGAACCGGCCAATTGATGGGTGTAAATTCAGGAGAAAGCCGAGACCACGAGATGGCCCTGATCTTGAACCAAAAGAGCAGGGGAAGAAGGCAATGGCGAGGCGGACGACGCAGGTGCCCGATGAAGGGAAACCCGACCTGATGGTCTGCATATGGTCGGAGGAGGAAACGAGGCAGAAGATTATGGTGGCTGTCGTGAAGGTGTTGACCGATGATGAGGCGGCGTCGAAAGTTGGCGGGACTTGCCGTCGGGGAAGCTCTTTGCAACCGAAGGAGGAGTCGATGGAGATGGCGATGACGATGGTGAGGGACGCGACGAGGGATGAGGCCGGCGATTCATCATCGTCGTCCATCACGAGGAGCGGTCCAATGGGAGCCAAAATTGGTAATGCTGCAAGGATTGATGAAGTACTGTGGAACACTGAAGAGAGGATGAGTCCCACACAGGGGAAGCTAGTGGGCGGCCAATTGCTTGGAGAAATAGAAGGACAACAGGTAACTACTTGCTTTCACTACATTACTCCATGGGATTTGGTCACATATGGGAAACTTGGAAGGAATCGTGGAGCAGAAAAGTGGTGCGGCCAGGTGATGGATATAACCAGAAAAGATAATGGAAAAGAACTTGTTGGGGAGTCGAACTCTACTGAGGGAGCTCGTATGCTAAGTTGGAGGAACGACTGGCTGTGGTTTGAGGGAGAGCGTGTGCTCTCGAGCGAATACGCTGGAAGGTGTATGTGTCATCGCGAGCGGTTGCGGTTCGATCAGGCCGCGCGAGACTACAACAATGGATTTTTTCTCGGTGGAACCGGCTGCGACCTCGGCAGTCATGCTCTCATACAAGTGGCCACATGGAAAGAACGGAAGGGATGTAATCTTCAAAGTTTAATGGTGGGCGTTTGGCCATTTCCAGGGGCATTGAGGATTGTATGTGCAGTTAGTGGGTGGATTGCAGGTTGGGGGTTACCTGGATGCTATCTAAGATAGGGAATGTTAATGAGGTTTGGGGTGACAATCATGGGATTGACTTCAAGCTGCGGGAATAACGTTGTGCCGGGTTATAAGCTTGGGTGGGATGGCAGTAATAGAGCAATTAATTTGGCCGCTACCATGAAGGACTTCAAGTTCGAAGGAGCTCCTTGTGTGGGAGGAGTTCGAGTGCCTAGCCCCAATGGGTAGAAAAGGAAGCGACGGATGATTCGACTCCTGGATTGCACGAGAAAGACATTGGTGTGCTCCAAGTTGGTCAACCTTGAGGTCAAAGTTGGTTTCAAGGAGGAGGGTATGATGGAAACCCACGGTTTCTATTATTATTATTATTATTATTGTTATTAAGGATATTAGTAGTTGAGTCCTATTAGGTTAACTGTTAGGGTTTTCTAGTTCCTTTTCCTATATATGTACGTTGTTATTCGTTATTCTGGGAGTCAAGAAGAATATTAAGGAAACTCTTCCCCAAACCCTAATCTCCCTATCCTCTCAATTCTCGTTCTCAACCCTCTAAAGGCTTAGGCCAATTCTCTATCTTCTCTTCTCAAATCCCTAATTCTGTTCTTAATCCCTAAATCCCCAATTCTCGATAGAACCCTAATCACAGATTCTATCATGATGCTGCTCTGGAGGTGCTACCATTAGTTAGAGATGCAAATCCTGTACCCATTGGAGTCATACCCAGCCCTAAGTACCTCAAGGAGTTGGATGAACGGTAAACAATGCTCAACAAACCCGCTTGTCTCATATACCCCAATTTCGTAACAAGTATAAAGTCATAACTGGTTGCGATTGTGGTGGATGCCTGGATTAGGTGCTTGATCTTTAGAACTACGGAACATCAAACCGAGTTTTTTGCGAAGAAGAATATGGAGGCCTACAAGGATGAGTATCCGGTTAGTACCCTACCCGCCACGAATAATGCGAGCTTCGATATCATGATATACTAGGAAATAGATGCACTCATTGTTTGTGGATTTTTCAAAATCTCCAGGCTGTGGAGCTGGAATTGGAGGAAGGTATAACCAGTAACAAGGTGGAGTCTTGTGGTTGCCTCTATGTCCATATCAACTTCAAGGTCAAGGACGTAGATGGATCTGTCCATCTGTTCTTTGCTGAGGCAACTTTCGATTATCAACCTGTAGTGTTGTCGCATTGCATCCTCGAGCGTGACATTACTGGTACTTCTCTATTCCTTGCTTTTCCTCAAAAGATTGTTCCATAGTAATTCCTTAATGGAATACATTGAGGAGGAGAATCACTGGTCTCTTGAGTATATTGTTTGACCTGGTTTCTCGATTATTGTTTGACTTGATTATTGCTCATGTTTGTTTGTTCATAGGTGGTTATGAGCATCATCAGAAAGGCTGTGGAGGCTGTTATCCTGATGCTGATGTCCCAATATACCACCCTCGTGGAGATTATCTGCATGGATACTAGATACTTCAACAATCAATGTGTGTGATGGATGTTTTTGAGAGTTTTGAAGGTTTACAAATTAGTAGTACTATTTGTCAAGGGATTTATGCATCTTGAACTCCAAAGTCATGTAATTATTACTTGTGGGATATGATATTATGGAGTTTGAAATTTGGTGCAGAAGATTCTTCCCCCTTGTAGGATATTTTGCCAAGTCTACCGACGCGGATTCTGGTGCAACACGATCACGAGGATGAAGCAACTGCTGGACTGCTACTGTCATGCTGAAGAATTGGTGGCGTTCGATTCCACACTTCATGTGAGCGGAATCAGAGCGATGATTCAAACTATACAAGGAATTGAGAAGATGATAGACAATCCTCGCATTTCTCTTTGCATTGAGAGGTTGTGTGGTCATGAGTCATGAGACTTGTGGTTCGTGAAGCTGCCTGGTGTGGTTCGATGTCGAAAGCTGGTGAAGTTGTCACATTGTTTTTGCAGACACGAAGAAGGGCGAAGGTCACCCTTAATTTTTTTTTGAATCCATAGCAGCAACAGAGTCCAAGGCACTGTCAACGCATTTACAAGCAAAAGATAAGGGAAACCATCAGCAACAACAACAAAGATGAAACAATCAGAATCTAGCATGCAACCCAATGAATCCAGTGTTCTTGGCATGAAAATTTCACCAACACCACTTTTCTTGGACGTCGAATACATTAACAACGAAAAGAACAACCTTTTCACCAGCACTTCTCGGACAGAGTCAACCTTACGTAAAGAACAATGAAAACCAACAGCAACAACAACGTCGCTATGCTCTTGTGAGTTGTGCTCCTCTCAGTTCTCACCCTTTCTCATAGTCGAGGCAGACTGCAGTGCTCTGGGCGACGAATCAACCCAACCCAATTGCTAGTTCCGATAGAAAAAGCTTCTTCCTTTATATCCCACCTGGCTTCGACTGTCTTTCAGACTTCAGAGAGGATACAAGGGCCAATTTTGAGCTGAGTTTGTCTTGACCCCAAGCATGGTTCAAAAAGGCACGCTTAATCTTACGTTTAGGCACGCCTAGGCGCAAGGCAATGGCAAAACGCTTCGCTTAGGGGTTTCACGCCTAATTAGATACTGGAACACGTCATGGTGTAAGGCGACATAAAAGTCTCTCCTGAACATTACTAGATGGAGCTAGTAAGTCAATATTAAAGGCCAAAATTAACATCAACTACGAAATCAATTTTCTATTGCAATATTTTCAATAGCTTGAGAACTTTGTGAGCTATTGAGCTATGCCTCTATGAATTCGTGGGCTATGTTCTTGGCATTAAGTGTTGAGTAAGTTATTAATCATTTTAACTGAAGTGAGGAAGTGTTGTAGATAATTATTTCACTCATCATGCAGTGCGAATAGCTATTTTTCTTCCAACGCCTAGGCACGCTTAGTCTACGCCTAGGCGAGCTAGGCGCAAGGCAAAGGCTCAACGCCCGCCTTACGCCTAGCGCCTTTTTGAACCTTGACCCCAAGAAAGAAGAGTAAAGGAAGATTCTTTCCAGCTTCCTGTATGTTTTAATCTCAAGACGGGAATTTGTTTCTCTTCTATTCTTGTCATGGTTTCGTACCGTTTTCATATGCCCAAACGTTTCAAAATTAGAAAGACCACAAAAGGTGCGGTTCCGAAGGATAAGAAGTTCATGGAAGGCGTGGTTTCGGAGATGCAGCAACTTCAGTCGGACTTGATTCGAGGACTGTGTCAACTTCAGCTAAAACTTGATGAGAATCGTCCACTCCAAGAAGGAAGGATGAGGGTGCTGGAGGATGAAATGATCCCTTGTCTGAGAGAGCTAAAGTCCATAAATGAAGCTGCTCTGGAGGTGCCGCCATTAGTTAGAGATGCAAATCATGTACCTATTGGAGTCGAACCCAGCACTAAGTACCTCAAGGAGTTGGATTAACGGTAAACAATGCTCAAACCCGCTTGTCTCGTATACCCTGATTCAAACTGTTTAAGGAATCGAGAAGATGATAGCAGTCCTCTATTGACATTTGCATTGAAAGGATGTTTGGTCATAAGTCTTGACCTGTTGTGATTCGACGTCGAAAGCTGGTGAGGTGGTCACATTGTTTTTGCAAACACAGAAGGCGGCCAAGGTCGCAATTAATTTCTTTGATTACATAGCAGCAGCAGAGTAAAAAACAATGTCCACGCATTTACCAGCAAAAGATAAGGAAATCCGCATTATGAGACCACAGCAAAAGATGACGACAACATCACAATACAGCATGTGACCCTATAAATCAAGTGTTCTTTTCCCTCTACTGGTCATTTGCTTTCAATTGTGAACACTACAATTTTCACATTGGTTGCGGAATTATCGTGTTATGAGAAAGTGAAGGATTACAGACCTATATATTGCTGCAAGACTCTGTACAAAGGAATTTCTAAGCTATTGGCATATCGTATTGCTATGGTACTTCCTAGTGTTATCAGTTGATCACAGTCTGCATATATAAAAGAAAGTATAAGTGATAATATTCTTCTATTTTCTGAGCTAGTGAAGGATTATCATAGGAAGAATGTTATGCCAAGGTGTGCTGTTAAAATAGATACAACATGGGACATGGCTTGCAGAATCAACTTCTGGACCTGCGATTTGACAGACAATCCGTGATCTACTTCACGGGCATCTCCTGAGAGCAAGGAGCTGTGGTCAACTACTGGATGTTGGGTAGTGCTGGTAGACGTTGATGACAAGGATGAAAAATCACGTCCAGTGAGTTTGCTGCTCATCCGAGCCATCATGATGACAGCCCGCTCATTCAGAACCTCATTTGCATCACCCAGCCCAGCTGATTGACAGCCTGCCAATAAAAAATTCCCCATTTAAGGGAAGAGACGTGAGTGAGCATAGAAACTAGTTTTCAATATGTAATAGATCATTTATGATATCAGACAAAACATCTCGAAGTTATTGACTTTCATGAAAGAAAAGGAAATTTCCGATACCTCAATCATGGCCATTACACTATCCTTATTAGTTCGAAGAACTTGCATCACTTTTTCACAAGTGTTGCGGAAAGTCCCCTCTATGCCACTGACCTCCATGGCTTTCACTAGCATTCTAGTCAAGCGGAAAAGGTACCTGCAAAACCAGACATATGAATTGCAGATAAGGCAAAACCAACAGAAACAAAGAAAAAGTACAGCAGCATAATACTCATGAAGCAGACCTTCTCAGGGAATTTCTCCCGATTCATTGAAGCTTCGAAGCAATCACCGATGTCGATGTGCAAAATTTTCCCACTGCAAAAAGATTCACATGTGATGTGAGGGAACTCTCAAGTCCAGAGACATACATACTGAACAAACCTTCAATTGTTATCTACCTGTAGCGGTGCAACATAAGGTTACTTTCATGTCGATCGCCCAAGCCTCGAAGGTAACCCACCTGCAACAGAGACAGTATATTGCATCGTAGAAAATTATATTTTTCTCAACAAATGAACCTGAGCAGGATGTTACTCTCTCCTGCCATTTCTTAATGCAGAGTTCAAACCGCCGACTTATGCTTATCCTAGGGCATATACAATAATCAACTAGTCTAACACGATATTTGCTATTGGTAAAGTTGTACATAGCTAGACTAGAAAGTGAGCTTAGGTGGGAATAGGAAATGAAAAGGGAAATTGATCAACCATGGCTTTGTAGCTTGCACAACAAACATAGAAGGACAGAAGCATATCAAAACGTGTCCGCTTATTAGTTGTCTAGTGCATTTGACCACCTTAAGTGTTTCAAACGCCACAACAGCACATGCAATGAGCCTTCAAAAATTAAATCTAAGGCTTCCCATGCACATCATACAGCCACAAAGAGCAAAAAATTATAATGAAGTCTCCTTATCAGTTCCAGGAATAGCAATGCAAAATGCACTATACAATCTGATATGTACAGTTAAACCACTTACCATGCTCATAACTGCCAAACTTCTAGTATAATTTGTCCTCCTTCCAACCATACCTCAGAAGTGCGACGTTTTAGCCATAGGACCTAGAAAAGTGCATTGTTGGACAGTAGACACTCTAAAGGATAACCATGAAATGAAGCAGAAAAGTAAGTTTAGAGTAAGTACCCTAGCCAGATCATTTCCTTCTGTGTTTTGAAGAGTGTACTCGAAAACTTCAACCTTGGCTATTAGCGGTAAATGGCCAGTCAGGAGCAAAACTAAGCATGTACTTGTGCTCTTGATTCAGGGTGATCTGAGATAATCATAAGCACATGAGTGAATAAGGTCCAGCTGAACGAGGGTTTATAACAGTGCAACAGAAAATGATACCACGCTCATAAAACTGGGGCTACCTTTCTGGCATCTCTGTATTCTCTAATGAGCTGGTGTAGGGTGTCACAATGAGGAGCCCAACCAATTAATTTGGAGACAATGGAAAGACTGAATATCGTTGATTCGACAAATCCTTCTCTGAAGTCCTCCTTGAATTCTCAGCAGCGTGTTGACCAGACCAAAGAGCAGATACAAAAGGTTAAACATTCGCTTAGTTACATGCGCTGCAACTTTGAAGTAAACAGAAGTGTTGACATTGTTTGTAATCTAAGGAAACATGAAATAGTTGTTCCAACTGTAACGTAAAAATTAAAGGGATTAAAAATAAAAGTGCGAAAAATCTGTATCAGACATTATGATGGCGATAAGATTTGCTTGGAAAAAGTCAAACTGAGAGAACTTGACTGCCATTCATACATGGGAGGACTTGGCATAAGAAAAATGTTTTAAAGATCTTTTAGTAGAGCAATCACCAACCTAATAGCAATTATCAGATTATACCTGAATCACACGCTCATCCTGGCGGAGATCTTCATGTCCCTTCAGTAAGAAGGCATAATCTTTACCATCACTACCATGAATCGTCGATTTCAGAGGACGCTGTTTAGATTGTATTATAGCTATCTGAGGTGAAAATGATGCGATGATGTCGAACAGGATCCACATATCCTTCAAATCACATATACTTCAAATCATCACAATATTCCTATTATACGTTATAGGGTTGGAAAAGTAGACCATACGGTTAGAAAAACCATGATCTAAACCGGATCGTAGACCGTTAAGTATGATATGGTCTGGTTCATGGTCTTTATTATTTGATGTTCTTATCTCTTGGTCTGGTCTGGTACCGCGATTTACCGGACCAAACCGTGGACCCAAACGACTTTTCAATGCGTGTTAACAGCCCATTCGACCACTCTCCCAACTCCCACAATGACACCCAATTCTCAACCTTAATTTTGAGAATCTCGTCCCCTCCTTCATTCACAACCACATTTCACTAGAGAGTAGAGATATTCGTGTCTTCATATGAAATTATGTTTATGTTTATGACGTTATGGTACAAGTTGTGATGCTTTTACTTTGTATCTTTGTTATGTACTAAGATTTAGAGTGTCAAAATGATTCATGCATGTTAGAATTAATGTTTTAAGGCAAAAACTAATTTTTTCCTTGGTTATTGGTTCTCATGAGTGCTTAAAGAATTGGCCTTCTTTTATTCTCCTTGAAGCGGCTCCACTTCACACTCACATAGGTGATTTCTAAACATGTATTTCGAAAATAAACTATTCGATCAAATCCCATGTCAAATTATTAGTACTTGAAACAACACAAACCACTCATCTCGTTTATATAATATAGCTTCTTGAAAGAAAAAAAATCACCCCCACTTTTCACTTCTCTCAAAATTTCATCAACAAGGCGTCATGTATTCATCTCAATCTTCTTTGTCTGATGGGCAAGAGTATGCAGAGATAATGTTCGACCACGAACTCCAGCAGGAACTACAAACAATGGAGGATGAGGAAAGTGCACCACTTCCCCGACAAGTTAGCAGCCTAGGCTCACCAGACGTCAAGAAGTTGCTTATATATGCTTGATGAATGATTACTTCAGTCAAAATGGAAGGCTTCTCCAATACGATGAACGCACATTCAGAAGGCATTTTCGTATGTACGTTGCATTGTTTTATTGCATTTTGGGGGGCATGGTGGGGGTTGACCCAACATTTGCAAGAAGGGTTGATGCTATTAGTAACAATTCTATGTCGAGTGAAGTGAAATTACTGCTACTCTGCACATGCTAGCTTATGGTTGTACAACTGATAGATGGACACAACCCTCTAGTAGGAGTACCTTTGAATGTTGGAGTTGATTCATCAAGGTGAACGAATGAGCTCGACTCACTAACTCATAGGTGGAACAGATGCAACGTTGAGTGTAGGATCAGGATACCATTTAGGATATCGTGGCAGGATCCTCCAACAATGATCATCCTTGAAACCCTTATCTTTTATATTAGACTTATAAATTTCCTTCGTCGTGCCATTTAGGAGATTGTGCCGTGCACTTCCGTGCCGCGCACCTGGCTGTCATTCAGGTCGCTGGCTTTCCCTTTTCTGAAGGTGGTCCCTATTTTTAGCCCCCCACCAACTAGACTTATTTTAGCTCCCAATTTTGTGTTTTAGCCTTTTACCTCCTCATATGCCCCTTTGGTTGTAGATGAATTGTTGGGGGCTAAAAGGGCAAAATACCCTTTTATACCATCACCATGGGTTGTGGACAGCCTAAGCATCACCATCAAAATTCTCAGTTCCATTACTACTCTTGAACTCCAAACAACCTAAAACTCACTGCCACAGAATTCCCAATCCAACCTTTTAAAATTGGGACAATCACCCCTACCCTTGGATACCACAATATAACATTAATTGTTACCAACCATGCAATCAAATGGTGAAGTCAGCTTGTGAGTTGATCCCGCAACAATGAACTCATTCAACAATATGCCACTCCACAGTTTAGAAGATTTAGGTCATGAGTTTCCCATTTCACTCCTATGGACAACAAATGAATATATGATTCAACTGAGAACTATCAGATTGGAAGGGACAAAAAAACATGGGAAGGGAGGAAAAACGTGAGGGTGGAAATCCTCACCAACATTCACTTCGTCATAAAGACCATCATACTTGTCGTACTTATCGGCTACCGCCATTTCTTCCTTAACAAGAGTAAGAGTAGCACTATCATAAACCGCTAACTCTTAAAATCACCAAAACGCATGCACAGTGCACAACGCTTCAACAAGTTCCCTCCAAACCACCACTGATCGGCAAGAAAATCAACTCTCAAATCAAATATC